CGTAATTGGATTACAGTTCAGCTGAGCGTGGATATGTCTGTATTCAAGCTTATGGAAGGTCGGACGATTGCGGATGTTGCAGAGGTGGTCGTGAAGAAATGCCGTCCTGTTGCAAACGGTTTATGAGTTGAGACCATGCAGACGGGAATAGTTTCTGACTTCTTATGCTTCGATCTTTTTTAGACTGGATAGTATCAATTATGAAATCAGCTGTTGTGGATAGAGCCGTTGCGGTTGTGGAAGTGGGATTGTTCTGTACTACGTCAGGTGTTCATTCTATGTTATATCAAGACTGGCTATCTGTAAGACACACTCACACAAGTTGAAATCAGACTATGGGTTGACATGCATCATGCGGGGCGCATATTTCCATCCGGGCAATATGTCGAAAACAAGTGCAAAAGAGGAATGATCACCCCAAGATCGTCCAAAACTCCCCATCTGACCCTTACATGGTGTCTTCTGGGAAAGAGCAGCGTAGCTCGATTTTCAAACAACGATGCTCTTCGGTATATGAAGGAGACCAGAATCCCCGAGTCCAAATCCAAACCATTGCCAGAGAGTAGACGAAGATGGTCCGTCATCCTTGCAGGTGCCACGTCAACACGACCCCCCAGTACTAAACCTCAAAATACCCCACGGCCATAGCGATTACCAACCGCGCAATATTAATCCCCGCCATGGAAGTTGACGCTGAAACCCTTTTCAACGCACTCGGAGAGCGTTATGAAGACGCCTATGCCGATAATCCCGGGCTGCTCCAAGTCACCGAATATGTGGTGAGCAACCTTCCACGCAGTAGCCATGTCCTCGACGTGGGGTGCGGAACCGGCAAACCGGTCGCTGCAGCGATCGCAACGGCCGGTCACACCGTCTACGGCATTGACATTGCTGAGAACATGGTGAGAATTGCTGCCAGCCAAGTTCCAGGGACATTCTCGAAGGCCGATATGCGAACCTACACTCCTCCGGTCAAGATGGACGCTGTGTTTGCAATCTACTCTCTCTATCAGATTCGACCAAGCGATGTTCATAAAATGATGTATCGGTTCGCTGAGTGGTTGAAGGGGGATGGGATCCTGGTACTTGGTGTGTCGCCTTCCTCGACCCTTGTGGGAGGAAAAGGCGTACATGACCCCGTCTGGGATTGTATGAGGTCTAAAGGGACGTGGATGGAGAGGCCGGTGTTCGAGCTGTACTTTTCCCAGACGGCTTGGTTGAATCTACTTCGCGAAGCTGGATTTGCCATTGAGCGGGAGAAAATGTTCGACTACATATCCAAGGACCCCAAGCATACGCGTTCTGAGACTCATTATTTGATCGTCGGGAGGAAATCAGTGTCACATCCGTTGCTGGGACCGTATCCTTTGCCTGAAGGCCTTCCGGGAAAGTCAATACGCAATGAGTCGGCTTGGAGACGGCTGCAGGGCCACCTATTCTTGACGGATGATGAGAGGATGAAGATATCCTCTATGCTGGAGGGCCATCGAAGGGTCCTGGATATTGGTGGGGGGTTGAAAGGTGAGCTATTAATCATTCTTCCTCGCTATATGCTGACTTCTGACCCTCGCAGACTTCCTTGGCAAGGCATCAGCAAGAAACAAGTCCGTCGAGACTTTGCCTGCCCATTTCAACAACCTCCCGTACCCAGATGCCCAGTTTGATGCCGTCATTGCATCCATGATTCTCGACCATGTTGATGATCTCCGTCGTTTCTTGCTAGAAGCCGTTCGCGTGATTGACAAGACCTCATCAAATGCGCGCGTCATTCTGATCCAGGGCGCACCATATAATGAAGTCCAGAAATTGAAAAATACCGTGTGTACTCCATTGAGCGGGAAGGACGCGGGAACAGCCCATCAGGGTCTGCTTCTTCACTCCTCCAGGAAGATACTGGCGGAGATCGGATTCGGAAGGACTTCCCTCCATCCTCTCAGTACTTCTTATTCCTTCGACGAGAATCGTCCATCCAATCGGAGCAACGAAATCGCCGAGATGTTGTACAATGTCTGGTTTCCTGGCGAGAAAAAGCATGAGCAGATGAAGCGGGAGTTGACCTTCCCGATAGAGAATCTTCTGCATGACCATCCCGGTTTCCTCCAGAATGAATTAGTGATTCTGGAAGCCGTGTTAAATGATCATTAAGTCTGTATGCGCACAGTTGAAAAAATACCCTATTGTCTTTTAAAGAGGATTGTTTACGTATCTAAGGCAATCGAACTACGAGACTGATCCATGAAGGTTGTAAAAAATAGACACCCCGCTGAGCCAAGGTGCCATAGCAGAACATGAATAACAAAACCAGATTCATTGTCCAATACACAATTGACAACTATAGTCAGGAGCTTCGCGAGGTCCCTCTGCACTCAAACCTGGGCACTCAGCGCGCTTCTCGATGCGATCTAACATTTCCTCTTTCTGGACCTACAGTGGTCTGATCTGCGCACTGATTAGCTCTGAAATCGCCCGCCGCCTCTCCCTGCTACAGATGGTCGTTGAGAGCACAGACCCCAAGGGAATAGCATACACCATCTCTATTGACTCCAGTAATCTGTCTGTGATAACAGGGATCTCTGCATAGGACTACTCCCTAATATGCCGCACACTTACCTCTCTAACTGCCAAATCCGAGCACTTCCAGCGACCGGGCCACATTATCCCAATTAAGGCGACGAGCGGCAGAGTGCGCAAGAGAAAGTGATATATAGAGGTAACAGTAGACTTTTGCCATCTAGCAGGTAAATTGCATGTCGGTGTGATTAGGGAGTTGGTAGAGGATGGTATAATAAGACATAATAGGTGCTTAAAGTTCGGCAAGGCATGGGGAATTAAGGTGTGCATAATTAAAGATTTAGTTGAGTATCTTAAGAGGATAGAGGGACCTATTTTAAATAGGAAGTATTAATCTCTTGATTAATATTCTATCATCTAGTTCTAATAGTTTCTCTTTTAAATTTCTCTCTCCTCTCATGTACTCTGTTATATTAAGTAAGTAATGTTATTATGGTGGACACTGAACTGCGTAGAAACATAATAAATTCCATGCATTATCATTTAGGGATGTTTATTAAGACTATGACAATCAACATGAATTTTTTTAACGTACGTCTATATAGCAATGTGGCTACTTCTAATGATTCGGAATGGACGCTCAGCCGGCTGCTTGATGTGTAAGTGAAAAGAGTCTATGGCTGCCAATCAACCACCCCCCTACATAGTACCTCTTCAGTACTTTGATAGCAGGCATCCTGACCGTGAGGCACAAGGGCCTGACAAAGGCTGGATTGACTTTACGGAGACTAAGGGGGCATGTCGCGATGCTGGTCATACCCATTATGCCTGGGTCAATGATCACATATGGGACCACTGGTCTTATATCCACACACTAAACTTTTTATGCACGCTTAAAGCAATTAAACTAGCAAGTTACAAGTAGTTATGTGGGCGGGTTGACTACCTTAACAAAATATATTAATGTGGCGGAGTGGCCCGAAGAGGCCACCATTCCCCTCTAACCTCCAAGGCGTTATTTAACTCCAACTATTAACTATCACAGAGCATCTTGGTCAGTCAATTCAGACCTTTTTTTTTTTTTTTTTTCTTTTTTTCTTTCTTACTTTTTTTCACAAATACGGCCAAGACGATTTCTACACTAGTCACAGCCAGCTGTGCCTCGGTTCCAGGTATCTTCTAAGCACTGCCCGTATCCACTCACCTCGCCCACCTCACCCACCGGTCACCCATGCTGTCACCCATGCTGTCACCCATGCTGTCTCAAGCCAGGATCATCTTCCGCAAGCTTCGTGGTATTGGCAGCCGTGGTAGCCGTGGCAGCGAGCCCGTGCCATCAGCGCCAGCCATGACAGCAGAGAGCGAAACTGTTGACCCACCCCCTCGCGCCATCCATATCAGCGACTGGAGGCAGTCACCCACCAAGCTACCCTGCAATCGCGGTCAACAGTCCATGTCCATTATTGTCGTGAATGCCAAAGGCGCCGCTGATCGCACTCGTCTTTATGAAGTATGTGCCCAGTGTAATATGCTCTGAGAACCCCCAGCTGAGCTTACCCTGCGTGGTTCATTAGCTACTGGGGAGAGAGAAGGATTTTTGGCCCGAGTTCGACGTTACATTGGACGACTCTGGCACAGATTTCGTTTGTAATGGTTACCTCTACAATGTCCACTTCACCTCGGCCAGCGGTCTGGCGCGTTATTCAGCGATGCTCTCGCTCTATCAGCATATCCCCCTCATCTTCACATATGATGCTTCATCAAGGGAATCATGGGACGAAATGGTCACCGCGTATGAGAGCATGCGCAGCCGCTGCAAAGATGGGATCCACCCCTTTCTTGCGATAATGATTGCCGCTATGGGTGAAGGTGACGGTGATTTCCCTGTGTCGCATGCAGAAGCCGAGGCGTTTGCAGCCCAGCGGGACTGTCTATTTGTCAAGGGCTCACCCACAACTGGGCGCGGCCTTTGCGATGCAGTCTGCTCACTAGTTGAGCTGGCGTACGGCGCTCGTGATCAATATACTACGGATAAGAAGGGTCAGACCCAGAGGATCAAGAGGGCGAACGCAATTGCGGCATTATTCCCAGCTAGGGATGCCTAGCTCAAGACTGGCATCATCATGTATGGATGGATGTGATATACCGCCGCCAAGACGGTCAGTAAATACAGCAAATATATTCAGTGGAATCCTGCTTTACCTACACTTGGTTCGCCGCTGTAGTTCAGTCGCCAGTCTTGCATCTTGACTCAAGATGAGCCCCTGTCTGCATACTATCTATGAGAAGCTACTCAAGGGGAATGCGTATCCTGTCATGGGAGCGAACTACCTGGTGATACATGGAATGATTAATAGTGAGTGGAGTTAGGCCTGCCTTTCCTGCTTGCTGCAAAGGGGTCGGCTTCGGCCCCTCTTTATGGAGTAAATGCCGCGCTTTTACATCTTCCCTAGATCGATCTCTGTTCCTCCCTGAACAAAGGAGACAGGATGGACCCCTTTGGGCGACTCCCTTGGTTTGCCCTGCAGAATATCTTGTCCTCTCTCCCGGATCTACCCCTCGCTCCACAGCTTGCACAACGCGACCCCCGAAGTCGCAGCATTCCTGCACCGGAACAATGGCCTATTCGCGCAGATCGTGGATGCAATCATCGAAAATACGGACCGTGAAAGAGGCCTGCTCCCATTTGTTCAGCGTGCCGTAAGGCAACTGGTGATCATCTGGACTGAGCAGTCAAGAAGGAAGCAGCCAAATGACGACAACGAACAAGAGACCGATCCGAATGTCCTCAATAACCTGCGATACCTCGTGGAACCGTATATCGACGTACAGACACCCATACCGCGGACCATATCACCGTCGACACCAGCGGCTGTTCTCTGTCAGCTGCTTGCACTAATGACCCGGCTGCGCTGCCTCGTGCATGCATCATTCCACGCGATGGTCGCAAAGTCTCTCCGGCTGCGAATCGAACACTTACTGAAGAAAGCCGCGTACACCAATATATATGGGCTTGGACTCGGCCATCGCCCGCAGGTTCTCACATTCTAGTTGTAATTTGTCTTTAATCTCTTGTAAAATCTTGGGTATTAGCATCAGCCATTCTCAGGATGGAGACAAGGAAACATAGTTCTAGCGCAGTTCACAATCAATCAGCTCTTTCAAAGGGTATCATAGAACAAAATAGCTGAATCTCTTAAGCAATCAAGCAAGGTCCATCTCGATAAATATCCTTCACAGGCAAACAAGCCAAACATCACAAAAATGACAGACAAGATCGAGGGTATCAAATTAAGTTAACAAGCAACAACGTTTCCTCACCAATCGTCGAGAGCAAAGTCCATCCAGTAACTGAAAGGTCAACACATGTTCAACTGCTCGGATACTTCGTCTAAGGACGACTGCAGCTTCGCATACTACACAGATCTCATCCTCGCCCAAGGGCGCTCGTTGACCAGGTATCCACGAAGCGTGCTCGACGATCCTGCTTCAACCTCTGAACGGCTCATCTCTGCAAAACACTTCAGAATCTCATTCTCCTCAAACAAGAAAGCAAAGAGGAGCGGGGTTTGCCCCTGCCTGCACAAGTAGGCGGGCCAAGGTCACTGAACGCAGCACGGCAGCGAAATGTAGAGGGGTGAGTCCGTCGTTGTCTTTGATGTTCACATCTGCTCCTCTCTGTATGAGGAGGCGCACCATCTCCTCTTGGCCTGCTTGTACAGCAACATGGAGGGGAGTGCGTCCTTTTGCATCTACAGCGTTTATATCATCTCCGTGTTCGATGAACGTGAGAGCAAAGTTGGGATATCCGAACTCTGCTGCGTCGTGGAGAGCAGTGCGCTCTTGACGAATCTGCTTCTCGGGCCTTTCGGGCTCCTGAGCCCTGGTGCTGTGGTCGAGCTTGGTCTGTTTAATGAACTGCTCAAGCTCTTGCGGACTGGTCTGGTAGGAGAGCCTTTCCTTGAATCTGGACTGCATGGTGGCTGTTTGAGAAGCTCTTTGCGATGGATGTTGCATTGGGTACCACTTTATTGATGAGGCGTACGACGGCGAACGAGCAAGTAGAGTACTGAGAAGAGAGGAGAGAGAAGAGAACAATGAGGGACGTTCTCAGTCATCTCTTCTTGGGGATGTGCAACTCACAGTGACGTATACTGGTGACATATTGATGACAGTGTCATGTGATATCATTTACCCTATATCAGGAGTTCCAGCATAGCAGATAATCGGGGCCTCAGGCGTCGGATAACTACATGAGCACTATTCCCTTTATTGCCTTTATCGCATGCAGCCCGGACTATAGTAGGGCCTTTAAACTAATCAACCACCTTCTCATGGTGGTCTGAGAGCCCAACAAATAGTTAAGAGGGTGATAGGCTCTCCGAACAACTTGGGAGAGAGCATCAGCTCTCAGCTTCCCTGATTGTCTAAGGGGGAGATAAGGTACATCAATATATCATGCCCCGATCCAGGGATTGATTGTTGGGCTATCATAATTATCAAAACTGGTAATATACATGGCTGGGCTTTGGGTTGAACGGACTAGAACTACAACGGTTTATGCTAGCTTTTCCAAACTTCGATGGGGATCAAGGATTGGCCACTAATCAAGATATATACTAACTAGTGGCCGCTAATGTCTGTGTGCCAGGGGACCCCTGGGTGATCCTTGATAGTCAGGGTGGCTGCCAATCACAAACATAATCACACCAGGTGGAACGGAACGCTGATTGGCTTGTTCGGCTACATGAAGCATTTATGGAAAGGGGCTCATGGGTTGCTGGAATCTGCTATCCAACAACGTGGATCCGATGAAATGATTAAACAATAGCATAGCAGATACTCGCGGTGTCAATAACGTTGAGGAAAGGAGAGGAATATTATGTACGCATTAGATATGAAGCTGTACAATTGTACACTTAACCTTCAGCTTGCACGGGCCGTCCTTTCTTCAACGTGGCCTTTTCACCGATCCAGGTGAACAAGACACGTGTAGGTTGCTTTGGTCAGCGATACGGCGGTGAGATGTCCACAGACTTCTACATCTGGCAATTGACATTACAAATCATGTTATTCTAGGTTTCACTGGAAATTCTATTGCTTTGTAATTCAGATGGGTTGAGAACATTCTACTCGTATTGATGGCGGGGCTGTGATGTTGATCGTGTTGGTGAGCGTTCGAATACGTATAAATGATCAGGACGTGTCCATGATTTAGCAAAAGAACAATTACAACAAAGATCCTAGTCTCAATATACACAATCACTACTTCTTCCACTTCAACTGAAGCAAAATGACCTCCTCTCTCTACACCTATACCGTCCCCACCTACCTCAAGGGCCTGGAAACCCTCACCCTCCTCCTCAAAAAGGCTGAAGACTATGCCAAAGAGAACAACATCCCCCTCTCCGACTTCGTCGAGGCCCGTCTCTACCCAGACATGAAGCCTCTGAGCTTCCAAGTTCAAGCCGTCAGCAACACTTCCAAGAACTCCGTCGCCCGACTCACGGACACCGAAGGCGTGGCTATGGAAGACAACGAGACTACCTTTGAAGAATTCTACGCTCGCATCAACAGGACCATCGAGGTGATCAAGGCCGTTGATCCTAAGCTCTTCGAGGGCAAAGAGCACACGGAGTTCCATGTGAAATTTGGCTCGCATGAGGCGACTTTTACCGGCGAGTCGTACGTGAATCGGTTTGGGCTGCCGAATTTCTTTTTCCATTTGAACACTGCGTATGCGATCTTGAGAAGTAAGGGTGTGCCGATCGGAAAGTTTGATTATCTCAAGTATTTTAATTCGTGATCTACTGTGTGGTGTTTTGTAAGTGGAATAAGTGGAATAGGCAGGATGAATCATAAGTCGTTACACATTATAACTACTACAAATACAGATTCTGAAAACAAATATGGTATAGTACATTGCTTGAAACGATAAACAACCACTATGTCCTCCCATCGTAGATGACCGGCGTTTGATCAGACATGGCCTGTCCTCGTGAGTGGCATTGACATGGACAGCCAGGTCAGAGTCAAAACTTACGTCCAAGAGGCTTCGCTCTCTTTGAGATGGACTTGGCCTGATACTGCTTATGCTTGGCCAGTCGCGCCCTACCAAAGCCAATCAGTGCTCCCGTACGGAATACCGCTGGTACACAGCCAGCAAGAACTTACTCTTCAGCCGCCTCGTACTCCAATCGTTTCACATGGTCCTTGGCTTCGCGCACCGCCATCCGGGATTCCCTCAGAGCCCGATCGGCCGCTTTCTCTGCAGACTCGGCCCGGAAAACCTGCTCTTTGGCCGCCGCAATGGAGGGGTCTTCATGGTGTCGGCCGAGCAAACCGCGACGCTGGGTGTGTCCGCTCGAGTAGCTACCCGAGGAACGGCGAGAGGAGTAGCTGGAATGCGAGTTACGACCACCGAATAACCCGTGGCTGCGTTGGTTGGGTTCCTCGATGCTACGGGCCGAGGAGGAGGAGCTGGATACTGAATTGCGGTGGAAGAGAGGCATGTTGCTCTTACTGGATGAGATAGAGGGCTCGATTGATTATGATTGCTTTTCTTTGAGTGGGTGATAGGCAAGGATGAGAACTTCAATTCATGATGAACAGATTGTGCGATAACTATATAGACAATCTGTATCCAGTGTGACGTCAAAACGATGATCGCACAACAGCCACCATCATCATCCTGGTACGTATCGTGGTGTGCTGCCCTGTCATTATGAGCACGACGCAATATATATGCGCTTCGTTGATTTGACGGCGGTCATATTCTCATCAAGTCTTCCTCGTTGGTCCTTCCATATCGCTCGATCGTGGTCTTTTGCTTTTGTGTCTGACATCATCATCCTTGGCCTGGTTATCCTCATTCCAGAAAACCGCCAGTATATAATCTATACCGTGTAAGTTTACTATTCGTGACACCACTTTGACGAATGCCTCGCAAGAAGGCTGCTTGTGTTTGGCAGCTTGAAAAGCAACCAGAGGAGGTTACCTGTCATTGTCGACGATGATGGGACAGTGGAGGTGGCGAGTGTCATGGTGATCGACAAAGATGCCGTCACCGACAACGCAGCGACCAATCGATTGGATGCAGCAATGGACCATCTTGACCTATCAGTATCAGCAAGATAATTGGTTAGTGTGTCCCCTTGGGAGTTGAGCGAGGCTGAGCACGAAAGAGCGCTAATTGAGGCTGGCACTGCGAAGTGTCGTCGTTTTGATCATGACAAGTGAAATGTCGGTGAGCTATGTCACGTTATGTGATGAATGCCTTGTGCGGCTAACTCACGTGACATTGTTGCCTGTTACCAGCCGCCGTCTAGACTCTATGACTCTATCTAGCTTCTAGGCAGACCCGAGACGGCTCCAGAGTCTACTTAAGGTCATTGAGACCTCTGATCACAATGGCTTCAAGTCAGGCGTCGTCGCATCGCTCCCTTTCATCATGACGCCCAACACCGCCCTCTCTCAGACTATTCAATCGCTGACTCTCAGCAAGATCCGCGAGCTGGAGAAACTGCGCAACAATTATCAGTCGCGTAAATCTGAGATCCTCAGAGTATCTGCAGCCTGTGATGATCAACTCGACAGATTGAGACATCTCCTGGCTGGCACCAAGGAACTCTATCCCGGCGCCTCTAAGGATGTCACCATCAGTCATATCGAACGATGGCTCGATCAAGCCAGATACGACTCGTCTATCCCCTCGAAAATGATAGAGGGGCTCGAAGAGACCTTAATTTCTAAATTGGACGCCCACAGTCGCAAATTGAGTGTTGCCGATCTCTATGCGCGCTTGCTGACTGAGTGGATGAATCCTTCAAACGATACAAGGAACCTAAAAGCCAAGGATGATTCTTACGACGGAGATTTTCTTGTCGTGGAAGAACGCCAGAAGCAACGTCTTCAGCAACTATGCGATCAGTTTGAAGCGGTCGTCTTTGAGCCACGTGAGACCAACGAACATGAGATCCATGCCTTCCTTGGAGACCTCTTCCTTGACGATCAGGGGAAGTTGGCGCTGAGCCAACTACGGCGCCTTGTTAAGGACAGATGCGAAACAATTTGGACAGCCGAGGAGCCGTTCAACCAGATTTCTTTGTCTAATTGCATTAAAGGCCTACTGACCCAGGAGTTGCTGAGTGACGGGAAGCGAGCTGTGCTGAAAGACTTCCTGGGCAACAAGGTTGCTATGACTGAGATTGCAGATGTCCTGAATATGCGATATGTAGACTTGAAGAACTGGGACTGGCGCACTGGTGAGAAGGGCATTGCAGTCCTACCACGTCAGCAAACGAACGGCAAATACCGCGTCTGGGTAGACGAGGACGTCCTGGAGACCATCTTCGCCGAGTTCATCGCGCTCAAGTTCTGCGGCGCACTCAAGTACCTTCTGACATATATCATTACACATTACAGAGTCTGGAAATTCTCTACAGGTCCGCAGATGACTGAACGGGACATTCTCCGCCGTAGTTACTACCTCGATTCCCGGCCATGGAGAGTCAATAACTTGGACGCCTTCCGCAAAGGCGAATACGAGTCCACGTACTTCCTCTCACACTTGCCCGGCTCGGACACGTCACTCTTTGAGAACGGTCCTACATATGATGAAGCAAGCGACGATGAAGACGCCGGTGCAAGGCCGACGCACAAGGCCGGTCCTAACAAAAATATCAAGCAGCGGATACTGCGCAAGGTTGCCACGGAGACTCTCCTCCACCAGCATCTGCATGGCGAGGCTGCTGTGATCCAGTCCGATATGAAATGGTACGGGACCGGTCTTCCGCACAGCACCCTCTTTGCGATTTTGAGGTTTGTCGGCTTTACCGAAGAGTGGATCGATTTCTTCACAAAGTACCTTCACGCACCGCTGAACATGGATGAGGCCTGTGATGGCCGGACCCCTACTGGCCCTCGCATGCGGCAACGCGGCGTGCCTCTGGCTGGCGCAATGGCGAAGCTCATGGGCGAGCTTGTTCTCTTCTTCATGGACATGACCGTGAACCGCGAATCTGGCATGTTGCTCTACCGAATGCACGACGACTTGTGGCTGTGCGGAGATCCAGCCAAATGCGCCCAGGCCTGGGAGGCCATGCAACGATACGCCCGAGTCACCGGTCTGGAGTTCAACCTGGCGAAAACTGGCTCAGTCTACCTCGCCGAGTCCAGAGACGCCAGCATTGCTGCTCGACTACCCAAAGGGCCCGTCACGATCGGATTGCTCGTGCTTGATCCAGACTCTGGTAACTGGGTGATCGATCAGGCGCAAGTGGATGCGCATGTTCAGCAATTGAAGAAGCAACTTGACTGCTGTGATAGCGTCATCTCTTGGATCCGCACCTGGAACAGCTGTATCGGCCGCTTCTTCACTAACAATTTCGGCCAGCCGGCCTTTTGCTTCGGACGTGACCATGTCGATCTCATCCTTGCCACTTACGAAAAAGTGCAGAGCGCGCTCTTCAAAACCCATGGTCGCGCTTCAACAGTCACAGAGCACCTTCGGCACATGATCGAGGAACGGTTCGGCGTCTCCGGAATCCCGGACGCGTTCTTCTTCTACCCGGAGCAATTGGGCGGTCTTGGTCTTCGGAATCCTTTCGTCTCAACGCTCGTGGTCCGCGATGAGCTCCGCTCCACCCCCGGCCAGCTTATAAACGAGTACAAAGAATATGAGAAGCAGGCGTATCTCGACGCCAAGAAGAAGTTTGAGGAGCTGACCGAACGCGAGCGCTTGCAGCGGTATCAGGGGATCCACCCCGATGCGGAGTCTGGAGCAACCCTGGTCCTCGATAGAAGTGATTTGAGTACCTTCATGTCTTTTGAGGAATACACTCGCTTCAGAGAATCCACCGACTATTCCCTGCGAGATCTGTACATGATGTTGATGGATGATCCGGGTGAAGCGGATATCAAACTTACGGAAGAGGTCTCCAGTGCGCTGGAAAAGGTGCAGTCTCAGTTCGATTATCCGGTGGAGGATAATGAACTTAAATGGATGCTGCAGCTCTATGCTCAAGAGCCACTGAGACTGTTTGGGGGTTTGAGCCTGGTGGACAAGCGGTTCTTGCCTGTTGGGGTGTTGGCGATGGTCAAGGGGAAGAGGGTCACCTGGCAGATGGTGTTGTAATCTACTTTCCGACGATTGATGGCTATTTGTACTCTGCATTTACCGGCGTCTATGGAATCTACAACTCGTTTTAGAATTCATGCAACAGTGAAGTATAAGGCTCCATCCACACTAGATACTTTCCATTCCCCAATCCTCTCTCCAAATGCCATTCGCATAGCCCAGCTACACTTTAACTACGCCTCCATCCTCTGAATCTACCCCCGGTAAACTGTCCTCACTCTCGCGCTCCGTAGTTTCGGCTAGTCTCCGAGCCCTACAACAAATTAGCCGCACAATTACCCCTATCGCAAGAGCCACTCACCTGTCGTCCCTCTCCCTGTTATCCAGCCCAACCGTAACAAAAGTCGCTATAATAAGTATAACGGACAGAGCAGTCACCGTGATAAACCCCTTACGGTACTTCGGCGCCTCAACCTGCCGCCAAACAACCTGCGGCAACCACGCTTGAAACACATACGCCATTTCATTCATGCTGCCTACCACCAACGCGCGTTCCTCGTTATCCTCAGCGCATATCTCGTGTGCCCATCTATAGTCTTTTCAGTTTGTAGGTACACACAGTGAAGGGGAGACTGGACGTACGCCATTAGAAGACCGCTTAGCCCGTACCCTGCCCCAGCAATGATGTAGCAGGTCCATTTCCACCCGGTGGGGATATCCCATATAGC